AGTATAGGGGAAAGAAAATTCTTTCTGTAATTAACTTGGGATTCAAGTTTTGATTTGGAGTGGTTCTCTCTTCCAGCAGCATCTATGTTCCCTGAGGCTTCCAGAGAGAATTTGAAGGGGATAGCAGGAGGATGAAAAGATAGGAAACTTTTCTTCTGTGAACCATTCTTAGTTTTATTGTAGGTTTAAAGCCAAGGTATGGAATGGGATACATTTAATCTTAATAAAATTCCCTCTCTGGGAAACTTATTGGAGCCTCCTGTATGTAATCAAGTTAAAATGTGTATATGGGAAAAGAGTTTTCCCTAAACTTAGGTATTTAATTGACCCAAGCTTCTCCCTTTGCAGGTGATTATTACTCATTATTGCACACTAGATTGAGTGTTGTGAAGAATGAGGTGATTATCGTAAGAATATATCTTGGAACAGATTTGGCATTTCATGTCATTATGTTGACAATGCTCAAAACTGTCTCCATTGTATTCTTTATGGTTTGGCTGACTATCTTACTTGTAGTTCTTGGATAATTAGCAAATTCCTTGCACACAAATAATAGACACTTAACTTAAATCTAAAAAAATTTCAAGAAGTAATTTTAACTGCTAGATTTATGACCACCAGTATATTCTTGTGAAGATGATTTGGTTATGATTTTTGTAATAAAATAGATGCTGTTTGTTTCCATTGTCTACGTATATTTTTTGCAGGTACATTATCTCTTCTGGAAAAGTTGGAGGCTTCTGCCCACAAAGTAGCACTGAAACGAGGGAAAATAAAGGAGCATGAAGAGAAGGTATTAAAGATGAAAATGAAGATCCAGGAGCTGAGACGTCAGAGAGATGAGTTAAAAACCAAACTAAATGTGTGTCAATCACAGGTAGGTGTGAAGTGTATGTTGACCTAAGGACAATGCATGCATGTTTAAACACTAGCAGAATGTAAATCATGAAGTTGCTGAGTTACTAGGTAAAGTTTTGCATAAACTTATACTATATAACTTGAACTTTAACAGAAGTCAAAACAGCTTTTAAATACCCTAAAGCTCCAAGAAAATTGAGCACATATTAAACAGCTTCCTAAATATTTCTAGTTCAACAATTCAGTTATATTGGTCCACTTCTGTAAAAGAGGTGGGTGTGGGAATGTTCTTGTATATATGTATTATTTCTGGAGGCATTGTGGTATCTATTTCTCACTTGCAATTTTTTTATTGTGTTAATGTGGCATCCTTATCTATCATTAACTGTGTTTTGCTTAATTAACTACACTTTTCAGTTCTTATAGTACATTGAACCATAAATAAACTATGTGGGCTGGGTTTGTGTGGCACACTAGGCAAAAATTGGATTAGCTAGTTACTGAACCAGTATGTCATAAAGCATAGCCTTTGTGCTATATTCTCTACATTCACTGCCAGTTATTCCGTAATATATTTGTTGCTACTAAATTATTGCCATTATTGGATATCTCCCTGCAGTTATAATTAAAAATGTTCTCTTGTGATAAATCCTGGGAAGTCAGATAATGTAAACAGCTTCTAGTTTTAAGTTGTCCAATGGTTACATTAATCAAATACAATAGGAGTTACACTGGGACTCTCCTTTTTTAGACTAGGAAAACATGTGGCATCCTATTGAGCACTGAATTACATTTCTGCTGATTGTAGGTTCATACCTTTCCCTGGTTGTGCAAGCTTTAAATATGTGTCTCGCCCTCTGACTTTGAAAAACAGTGATGGACAAATATAGCTTTTGCTCCTTAATATTTTTGTGAATTATAGTATGGAATTTGAATTTGTGATTTGATCACAATAATAATCCATTTGCCTCCGTAATACTAACTTATTAAATTTAGGCAGCATAAACTCCAAACTTGTGACACACGAAGAGTCGTGCACAAGGTTGCTATCTTGGCTTAACTGCAGCAGCAAGCGTTGCTTGGTGCCACCGTGGCATGGACTGAACGGGAGCTCCTGGGGGAGATGCCTCTTGCCTGGGACAGCAGAGAGTCCTTTCCCAGCCTTGCAGTTGCAGCTGATCTGCTCCAGGTTGGGCCCAGCTAGAGACACTCCAGAGCCTCCCTTCTCCCTTCAAAAAAGGTTTAATTTTCCTCCTTCCTCCAAAAAAATGTTTAATATCTGTTGGGTTTCAGGCAGCACAAGGTCCATGATCATTGTTAACTATAAAAATTTCAATTTTTAAATGAATAATAAAGTTTAAATATTCAGAATACATCCAGACAAGAAGAATGGGGAAAAAATGAAAGAGGGGGGCTATCTAAATGTTTTTTGTATCCTTCCTTCCTTCCTTCCTTGTCAAATTAAAAAAAAAATTCTAATGCTTACAAAATATTGCTTGCAATTATCACCTGTCAGTGACTAGAGAATTTAGATTATAATCTGTAAGCATGTACATGTGGAGCCAGTTTGGTGTAATGGTTAAGGCATCAGGCTAGAAACCAGGACAGTGTGAGTTCTAGTCCTGCCTGAGGCACAAAGCCAATTTGGTGACCCCGGACCAGTCATTTCTCTCAGCCCTAGGAAGAAGGAAGTGGTAAGGCACTTCTGAAAAATGCTGCCAAGAAAACTACAGGGGGCAGTCGCTAGGAGTCAAAAATTACTCGAAGGTACAACTTTTAAGCAGTGTATGTAACATATTGATCATACTTTCTAGCTTCTATACTTTAAGAAATAAGTAAACATTTTAACATGTTGCTATTGCATGTATTTGCAATTTACTTGTATATTTGTATTGTGCTGCACAAATCTGTACTTGGTTTGGGAAAAGCTGCACAAAACATTTTTTCGCTGAACACAGCATGTCAGAAATTAGAGGGAACATTGCTCTGAACATGTTTTTCTTAACAACCTCCTTTTAGTGGAAGTGATGGATGCTTCTGGGCAATATGGACATAATAAGTTGTAATAATTGAGCTATAACTCTCCTGTCCTTTTGTAGCTCATTGCAGGCAAAGATGCCATGAAAAGCAGTCGGCAAGTTTCTGAGGCTACAGAGACAAGCCAACAGGCCATCTTAAAGGGGAAGATAGAGAATGCCAAGGGCTTGCTAGAACTTTTTCGTCTGACAGGTACCTTTCTTGCATGTGGGCAAGATTCTCTTCTAGGCTAGTCAGTGGCCTGGCAATCTGATTTTTCATAGCCCTTTGTCCTCTTTGCTTTAGTTTAGAACTTATAAGGCTAGGGTCCTAGGCTACTCTCCCTATCTCTGCCCAAAACATGTCTGATTAATTTTGTGCAATATACCATCCCAATAAATTTAGAGCTATTTATCAAATCCTTTGGGGTGGGACAACGAAAAGATAGGTGAGGGCTGGGGATTTTTGTGTAGGTGTGGAGTAATTAGAGAGCCAGTTTGGTGTAGTGGTTTAAGGCACCAGGCTAGAAACCAGGAGTCTGAGTTCTATGCCTTCCTTAGGCACAAAGCTAGCTGGGTGACTTTGGGCCAGCTATTCTCTCTCAGCTCTACAATTTAGCTCTATGCAATCGCAAACCACTTCCAAAACTATTGCCAAGAAAACTGCTTGGGCTTGTCCATGTAGTCACTAAGAGCCAAGACTGATTCAAAGGCACACACCCATGCAATAAGCAGGCATTCTGAGAATTTTGTGAATCATTTGTTAAGGAACAAATGTATAGGGGCAGATGGAACATCTAACTGACCTTTTGTGGGCTTGGAAGCTTACCAGAGCTGAGGTCAGGTTAGACTTGGTTAGAACTTGAATGGGAAGCTCTCAAGGAGTATTAGGATTGTAGGCTAGACCGGGAAGTTGAAAAACATCCTGAAGAACTCAATGGCAAACCACTTGTACAGTACAACTTTGCTAAGAAAACTTGATGTCTACGTAGTCACCAGAAATTGTGTTGAACTTGAGTGGGATTTATATTTTTGCATAGCAGCAGACAGATATATTACTTCATCAGCCCAGCTTTGAAATTCTGATTTTAAATACGTTTTTTTCTAGGCCTAAGTGGGAAATTGACAGAGCAAGGAATCTCCCTATGCATTAACACTGCCTTTGAAGGAACTTACCTAGATTCCTATTATTTAGACATCCTTATACAACAGCCAATCCAGATTCGACACCATTCAGTCCCAGCTTTCATACCTCTGGAGCAAATAGCTCATGAGCATTTGCAGAAAGACATCAAGCGCTTCCTGTCTGTACTCTCAGATCACCTGAATGCTTACGCTAGGAGGAAATTTCAGGCAGACCAATTACAGGTAAGAGGAAAAATTGTGTCCTTCTGTACATATATGAAACAGGAAGCATTTTGTTCAGTAGCATTGTTTTATCTCTTCTAAAAGAAAATTTCATAGAGGGTGCTGAATTAGATGTAGCTAATATACGTAGTCTTGGAGATATTCTGCCATGTGGTTACTGCTGTTTCAACTTTAGTCAGCAGCTAGTAGAGACTGTAATTTAAACTGGACAAGGCCAAAAGGCCCAAAAAAATCAGCTGGATTAATTTAAACCAGTAAATATAAAGGGGCCAATTTAAATAACTGAAATAAGGATTCTTACTAAATGATATATTTATGAAGTTAGAATCCTGAACAATAATTACTTTGCTTTATCAGTCAAAACTGTAACAAATTAGTAGCATAAATACTCTATTAAAAGGTATACATAAAAAGATATCCAACAATTACTTGTTTCATAGTATAAGAAAAAGTAAGTAGTTATCTCTGAACAATATCAGAAGGTGGCATTGGATGAATTCTGCTTGACATTTTGGGAACTGTCTTGGGGAGTCCCCTGCAAGGTTCTCCTGTTGCAGTATTTAACATGTCTATAAAGGCCTAAAGATCATGTATGAAGTTGGAGTTAATGTTACTATTATGTTGAAATACCCAGCTTTGTCTTGAGAGCCTCTGTAAGCTATAAAGGGCTGGTTGTACAAGAACAACTGAAACTGAATCTGGGCAAAACAGTTGTGCTTCAGCTAATAAATAAGCTGCACCCATTCCTGAAAGAGAGGACCTTGTCTTGGTGATGTTAGTGCTGGTAACCTCAACACTGAATTGCTGCAGTGTACTTTTGCGGAGTAATTGAAGATGGTCTGGAAGCTGTAAATGACCCAAAATACAGCAACAATAGTATAGGTCAAGAATAGTGCTTTCTGGAGGTTACACATCATGTCATATTGAAGCAGCTGATTACCAGTTGCTTTTGAGACTCAATTCCAAATGCTCACTGTGATGTGTAACAGCTTGCATACCTTTGGTCCAGATTACTTGCAGGAACACCTGCCTGTAGAGTGCCCTGAACTCTTAGTTCTTCAATTGGTTTCTAGTAATAGTGCAGCTGTTTCAATATGGGAGTGATGTGGCATCTGGAATTGCCATTCACTACAAGTACTACTGAATTCTTGGTGAACTGCAGTTTCTGGATCATCTTCAAGCACTCTTTCATTAAGAGCATGTTGGAGTAATCCAAACTAGCATATTTATTTATTTATCATGTTTACATAGCTTCCCATCTCACATAAAGTAATATGCATCATTAACACCAGAGAGAGAGAGATTTTAAGTACCTTAAGTTGCATTTTTATCACAGTCCTTTAAATAGGAAACCCATAAGTCAAGATTTTTAATGAGAAATTATTTAACTGTCATAAATTTATAGTACCATTTTGGGGGGAGAGAGAATAATTTTCTATTGGATTAGTTTAACGGACCTTAATATAACTAATAACCTAAACTAAAATAATTTACATAGGCCAAAATAGTGTTTTTTCCTATCTAAATTGCCATCTTAACTATAACATAGGCAAAAGACTTTTAGTTACTTCTCTCTGGTGTCAGGTTTATTTTTCGCTTGGTATATCTTTGTTTTTAGTCATATACAAGGAAAGACAAATCTGTTTAATTTAATCAGTTTCTTATCTACAGTTTATTTTGTTTTTAAGGCCACCACCCTTTTGATGACTATGAGAGGCTTACATAGGGTTAAAACATTAAAATACAAGTTAACATCAATAAAAACATATCACACTTAACTCCAAGCATACACTTAAGACAGGTTCATGCAGCAGCCTGGTTTAGCACCTATGGAAAAATAGAGGTCTTCAAGGCACTGTGAAGGCTGGCAGGGTCCCAGCTCTAGCTACTTGCCCCAAGTAACATCTTTGCACTTGACATGGCCACCTACAACTACTGCTGATCCTGATCCCCAGTATTTAAAATGTGGTGCAATAGCCTTATACGGGCCTTTTGAAAATCATAGTGTACAGCCTATGTATGCTTTTTGTAAATTTTTGAACTGTAGTATATAAACTGGCCACTGGGTGGACTTCAGCATAGCAGTATCTTTGTCTAAATGCTGAAATAGTAATCATAATTCAATCCTTGCAAAAGAGTATGAAGCGTATGGTAGATTAGATTCACATGGGTTTAAGTATGTGTGTTTCTTTTTTAAAAAAAAGAATATACCATCTGCCATGATTAAGCCAAAAGGTGAGAGGGAAACATTCTGACAGGGTGTTTCTGTTTGTATTCAAATTACACATTAAACTGAAGGTGTTAGTCAAGGGAAAGCCATTAAAGTTAGTCAAGTCATTAAATCATACATGATGTGCAGTAAACATGAAAAGGCAGTAATGCAGCAAGATGCAGTGAAAATAATGTTTGTATTTGAGAAACATTTTGGCTAAAAAATGACATTCTTAGCATTTCTAGTAGAGGTGTGTATCTGACTGCTTTGGGAACTGAGGTGGCTATAGGAATGAGAATAGCAAAGCCAAAGATCGAGCAGCTTTTGAGAAGAGATGGAAGAAAGAAAATCTTGGAATGACCTAAAAACAGAAATGGGAAACCCCTCACAAAGGAAAAAGTTGAGGAGACCTTCAATACAAACTTCAGGAAGGTCTGCAAATGCTGCTCCCTGATGAAAACTTGAGAAAGGGACAGAGAAGTAATAAGAGTACAAATGTATACCTATCCTGGTCTGCTGGCTTGGGTACAGTGGAAGGTTCTTCTAAGGATGGCAGAGAGAGAAAAAGAAGGAGACGTTTTTGCTCAGTTGACCAGCAATGTGAGAACTTCTGGGAGAACTTGTCTGATGGCAGGCATCTCAAATCCCAAGAGGCTTTTAATTTCTTTTTTAGGGAGTTCAGTAAATGAAAAGAAAACCATTTTCTTTTTAGTGTGACTTATGCTTTTTCTTCTTCAAGGGCTAAGATAAATAAAATCAAGTAGATTCTTGTGATCAGCAGAAACAGGTTCTCCAAGTGATTGTCCTAAACAAAAGGCTAAATAAAAGATAATTAGATTTGGCAACATCAGGATGTGATAAATTTTAACCTTGGAATTACAGATTTTTTCAAGGTTTATTCTGCTTCTTTCAAATTCAACATCAAAAAATTTTAAAAGTACATGTACAGAAGTTATACGTATGTACCTACATATGTAAATAAGCACCTGAAGAAGAGCCTCTGAAGATGATCTTAGATATGACATGCATTATTCTCTTGCTTGCAGGAACATTTTGCTGTTTTTTTTAAAGGATGCATGAAAGGAAATTCCTTATACACTCAGTTGGAATTTAACTACCGTGTGACAGAAGGTGGGAATTTTCCATTTACAGCAAAGATTACTTATGGAAATCCCATGAATGCCCTCCCAACCAAGGTCACTGTTGTATGTAAAGGTGAGAAGCAATAGGTTGTGTTTGATAATGGAATAGATTATTTAAGTGAAGAATCCTTTGAGTTCAGCTCAACTCTTATAGGTACGTGCAGATCAGAAGCAGCAGTTGGTGTTGGTGGATGGGAGCTGCTGCTGGCCATGGGCCCAGCACTGGCTTCCACTAGGTTTCTGAGTGCAGTTCAAAGTGCTATTCTTTACCTATAAAACCCCATATGATTGGAGGATGTTAACATCACTCCCTTGTCATGGACAGATCACTCCTTCTTGACCCTAGAGATCTCTGTAGCTGTCCCCCTCTGCAGGGAGGTGAGGGCTGTTCAGCCCATGCCAGGCAATTGATGGAGCCACTAGGGTTTCAGGGGGAGCTTGGAATTATTCCTGATGCTCTGGGGCATGATCTTGCTGAAGTCTTGGTCATGGCTTGGAATATGATGAGGGCCTTAGACCAGGTCGCACTTGTGCAGAGTCTCTGTGATTGTGGATCCCGTGGAGCTTCCTGCTTTACAGAGCAGCTCTGGAAGATAAAGTGATACAAGAGATGCCTAGAGCACTGCTGCAGGAAGATTAGGAGCAAAGCCAACTGAGCAAAGATGAGATTTTAGGACTTGGCTTGTGGCAGTAAGAGCAGCAAAGAAGACTTACTTCTCTGTTCTTATATCCACAGGTAGCTGGCCAACGGCCCCGTTTTGAGTGACCTGGTCCAGACCAGGTCTGCTGTGAGAACTATTCTAGATATCTGTTGGATAAAGTTGCTCGGTTTCGCTCTGATTTGGACTCTGGCTGGACAGGTCTTATGGAGGTGCCTGAGGCACATCTTAGCCTGGTTACCTGGGAAGAGGTTGAGCCGGTCAGGTTATAGTACTGAGACAGCATTGGTTGCATTTGTGGATGACCTTTAGAGTGCTTGGGATGGGGCTGGTATGTCCATCCTTATACTCCTGGATCTCTTGGCGGCTTTCAGTACCATTGGCCATGGTATCCTTCTGGACTGGTTCTGGACATTAGGAGTGGCAGACGCTGTTTTGCAGTGGTTCTCCTAGAACCTAGAAAAGCTGTGTTTTTCTATGATGATCCTTGCCCTATGAAATAATCCCCATCCTAAGGCCAGGTCTGCACTGACCATGATGGTCTTTCCAAAGGCAAGTTAAAACAGATATTCCAGAGAGCTTTTAGGGGATGAGAAAAGTGGATGCTCTTGGCTTTGTATGGTTATTGTTTTATCAGTTATATGCTGTTTATTATTGTGTGTTATTCTGTTTTTATGTTTTATATTGTTAACTTCTGGGACTCTGTTATGTGATATATACACATAATATACAAACTTGTTAAATAGTAAAATAAAGGAATTAATGGAATATAATTCAATGAAGCATGTTGTTTATTGATATGATTTATATCCTGCTTTTCTATCCAAGCATTCAAGGTAGCTAATAACAAAAAGTGAAATACAAATTGGCATTTAAATTTTTATTAGCCTTTCCAACAGCTTCTTTTTTATAGAAAATTGGTAAGAAATTATGTCTTCATATGTCTTCAACCATTTTTCAATGGTTCTCAATTTCAGTGGCACAATTTCAGAGAACTGGTAGGCTGAAGAAAAAGGTTGATAATATGGGGAACTTTCAAGCTGTTGTGATCGTCTTTGGTCTTCATGAAGCATTCACATTCAGAAATAAAGTGCGATTTACTTAGAATCATAGGATGGAAGGGCTAGTTAGATCAATGAGTCCAAATCAATAATAGGGATCAAACTTTTTTTATGATATATTTTGGAATCTTCCCAGATATTGATGTCAAATCAATTTTTCTGTAGTTCCCTGATCCTTCCTTTTTCTCCTTTGTGAAGATACGGACACTTGCCCTCCTCCAGTCATCTGGCATCTCACTAGTTCTCCGGGATTTTTCAAAGACAATATGTAAATAAGTTTAACAAGACTATCAGCAAGTTCTTTCAGCACCACTGAATTGAATTAATCTGGCCCTGGAGTTTTATACTCAAAGTAAGCAGGTATTCAGGGACTATATTCCTATCAGTCTCATGCTTCAATCCTGCTTTTCCATCTCTTTTCACAGTTGCCTAGTGGAACATGTACCAGCTTGTGGGAGAAGTCAAAGCCAAATTAGGAACTTGATAGCTCTGCCTTGTTGTTGTTACTGATTAGCATTTTGCCATTTTCATTGAGCAACTGAATACTGATTATTTTCTCTTCCTTTTATTTTGAACATAACTAAAGAATCCCACTAGTCTTAAAATCATTCAGCAACCTCTGCTTGTTCTGAGTTTTAGTTTTCCGGCTTTCATGTTTACAGTTTGGGCTGGCTGTATGCACTCTGGTGACATGTCCCCCTTTCCAAGACATACAATCCAAGATACTCATTCAGTGACACTTAGCTTTAGTTACCCTTAAAATCAAGAATTCTAACATTAGATGGTTATGTCTCCCAATATCCCTGCCACTTACAATTTCTTAACTAAGTCTTCTCTATTGATTAATATCAAGTTGGCACTAGCTGATCCTCTCACTGAAGAAAAGATTATCAGCAACACAAGCTAAGAATCTTCTGGAAGAACCACGCTTGGCACAGTTTGTTTCCCAGCAGATGCTTGAGTATTTAAGTCCCCTCATCACTTTCATGTTCCTTTGAAAGATCTGCAATTTCCTTTTGGAAAGCATCACCAACATCTTGAGTGGTAAGGCAATAGGAGGCAATTTTACATCAGATATGCTCTACAATATCTGCAACCTCATTCACTTATTTTTGAACATGAATGCATATTTTTAACATACAGAACAATTCCTCCTCCCTTTGCATAGCTTCTGTGTCTTTTCTTTTTTATATAATTTTTATTAGAGATTTTTACATGAATAAAAGATAAACATGAAAAAATATATGAAAAAGGTTAAGAAAAAGAAGAAAGATAAAAGAGGTACAGAAAACAATACAGATAGAAAAAGACAAAAATAAAAGATATTTGAAGAAACAACTTCAGATCTTTACAGCAGTTACAAACATATTGTCTTTCTTCCCCCTTTAGGATTTTTTTCCATTTTCAGCAAAAAGTCCATAAAGGGTTTCCAGTCTTTTATAAAAGTACTTATTATTTTATCTCTAACCAAACAGGTCAATTTTGCCATTAGCAGTTACAAACATATTGTCTTTCTTCCCCCTTTAGGATTTTTTTCCATTTTCAGCAAAAAGTCCATAAAGGGTTTCCAGTCTTTTATAAAAGTACTTATTATTTTATCTCTAACCAAACAGGTCAATTTTGCCATTTCTGCAAATTCTGCCATCTTTACAATCCACTCCTCCATTGTGGGTATTTCAGTGGTTTTCCTTCTTTGTGCATATAATAGCCTTGCTGCAGTTACCATATATAAGAACAATCTTCCATAAGTCTTTTCTAATTGGCTATCCATAAGTCCCAATAAGAAAACTGGTTTCATCTGAATATTTTTAAAATTCTTTGCACCATCATGTGTATAAATATCCAGTATTTTTTCACTTTTTCACAAGTCCACCATGCATGGTAAAATGCCCCTTCATGCTTTTCACATTTCAACATTGATTAGAGGTACCTTCATACATCTTCAATAATTTCTCTGGTGACATATACCAATGGTATATCATTTTATAAACATTATCTTTGAGATCATAACACAATGTAAATTTCAACCCTTTTAACCGCATTCTCTCCCATTGGTTCACCTGTATATTATAACCAACATTCTTAGCCCATTTTATCATGCACTCTTTAATCTGTTCTTCTTCCATTTCAAATCTCAACAAAAGTTTATAAATTTTAGCAGTCACGTCATCGTCTGTACATAATTCAATTTCCAATTCCATCTTATGTTCTATTCCAGTTACCTTTTTGTCTATATTAAATCTCTCCCTTAATTGTCCATATGAAAACCATTGAAAACTAAATCCCTCTGCAGTCAATTGTTCTCTTGACTTCATCTTAAATTCTGTTCTTCTAATTCCAGCATTCTCGTATTTCTCAACGACAGCCCTCTTTCATCCAAACCAAACAGCAGGCTGCAAAGTACTATTTGAAATTAGGCAATCCCAGTCCTCCCTTTACTTTGCATCTTAGAGAATTTTATATTTAACTCTTGGTTTCTTCCCCTGCCATATAAATCTAGATATAATTTTGCCATTGCTTAAAAGGTGCATAACTGGTATTCTCTGAAATAAAAACATCATTCTAGGTAATACATTCATTTTTACCACAGAAATTCTTCCAAACAACAATAATTGTAATTTTTTCCATCTTAACATAACTTTTTAAATTTCATTCCATACCTTTACATAATTATTTTGGAATAACATACAGTTCATAATAGTAATACCTAGGTATTTTACTTTTTTCTCAATCTGAAAACCAGTTTTTACAATCAATACTTTTTGATCTTCCATCCCCATATTTTTGTTAACATCTTCATTTTCTCATTATTGATTTTAAATCCAGCCAATGCACCAAATTCTTCTAATTTTTCCATCAATATTTCTATTCCTTCCAAGAGATTTTCCAAAATTAAAACCAAATTGTCAGCAAATGTCCTAAGTGTGTATACTTCTTTTCTAACTTTCACCCCAGCTACTCTTTCATCATGTCTTATGTCTCTATTCAGAACTTTAAGGCCCAGAATGAATAATCACAATGAAAGTAGGTGTCCTTCCCTTGTTCCTTTCTGTATTTCACAGGGTTTAGTCAATTCCCCATTAACTATAATTTGTGCCCTTTGTGAAGTATATATTGATTTCACCCATGTAAAACATTTTCCCCAAAATCCACATCTTTCAGAATTTTGAACAGAAAAGTCCAGTTCAGATTGTCAAATGCTTTCCCCGCATTAAGGAATATCAAAGCAGCTTGTTTTTCATTATGCTGCTCCAGATATTCTAATATATTAAGAATATTTCTAATATTATCTCTTAGTTACCTTTTAGTCAAAAAGCCACATTGATCTTCATGAATGAAATCTTGCAAGACATTTTTCATCCTTTCAACCAAAATCTGTAATTATTTTATAACCGTTATTCAGTAAAGATATTGGTGGGTAGTTTTTTGGTAAAGTCAGGTCTTGCCATTCTTTAGGAATTAGTGTTGTATTTGCACCTGTCCAACTATCCAGTATTTTTCCATTATCTAGAATAGAATTCATTTTTTGAAGAGGTTATAACAGTTCATCTTCAAAATGTTTATAGTAGGAGGCTGGCAATCCATCTGGACCAGGAGCTTTCCCTATTTTTATCTTTTTTATGGCTTCATAGACTTCCCTTATTGTTATAGGTCCATTCATCATCAGTTTTTGTTTATCTGTTATTTTTGGTAAATTTTGTTTCTTTAAATATTCATCCACTTTTTCTGGGGGAATTTCTTCCCTTTTGTATAGCTTTGTACAATACTGATGGAATATTCTTTGCATACTTACATTGTCTGTTACCATAATTTTCCCATTTTGTAATTTTAATATCATTTTCGTCTCGCTTTTCTTTTTCAGTTTATATGCCAACTATTTCTCTGGCTTATTTGCTTACTCAAAATTCTTCTGTTTTGCAAAGTTCATTTTTATTTCCATTTCTCTTATCATTAACACAGAAGCTGGTGTTGTAAGAGTTTGATTTGCTGTGAGACATTTTTCCTTTCTGGAGTCTCCAGAGTTTCTCCTCTTTCATCTTTATCTCCATTAAAATCTTTTGCATCTTCTCTTGTCTTTTCCCTTTTCAGTTTACTGTTTTGCTCTATAAATTGCCCTCTCATATAGACTTTACTAGCATCCCATACTGTCCTTATGTCAGTGCCTTTATTGAGATTATTCTCAAAAAGGTATTTCAATTTCTTTTTACAATCCTCCATTATTGATTCCTTTTGGAACAAAGTTTCATTTAGCCTCCATCTGTAAGTTCTAGCTCTCCTCTTATATGTTAGTCACTCTGTTATGATCTGAAAAAGTCTTTGGCAATATCTCCACTTTATTAACACACGTAGCAAGATTTTTGGAAATCCAAAGCATATCTATTCTTGAGAAAGATCTATGTCTTTCAGAGAAATAAGTATATTCTTTAGAGTCACCATTTTTAGAGTATATTCTAAATTTATTCATTTATAAGTATATTCTTTTAGAGTCACCACTTATATATCTATATATATATCTATATCTATATATCTAT